AATTTATGTTCTAAAAAGAGGTCTGTCTTCCTGTCTATTGGGATCAAGAGTCCTGATGCAAAATACACTGGGATCAATAGAAAGATTTTTATAGACTCTGGTTTTAGATCAGGTCCTTGGAGAGGGACTACAATGTACTTTCAGAAAGCTGGAGACACACTCTGGGACTTTTGAAGGAAAACAAGGGAGGAACTTTTTGAAAGATCAGGAAGCAAGAAGAAACCACTCTTCAGAAGGAGAGAGAAAAGAATTCAGGCATCAGGAGGACAGATGGGAGGGATCATGGAAAGGGTATAAAACTTGTTCTGCAATTTTATGTAAGGTTTAAGTTACATTCCTAGAAAGGCCTGACATTCAGGTGGGTTCTCTCTTTAACTAAACTGGTTCATCAACCCTGACCCTCTCCAGAAAGGGGGAATTAGCTTAGTTAGTAGGCAGCATTATCCATTTTCTCTAGTGAGAAAGCTATGCTTTGAAAGGCTCCCAGTCATTTTTATTTTTTGTCAAAGGGAAAATAGTTCAAGGTTTGTTTCTATGATTTGTTAGAGCACTAGTTTCCAACCTTTTTAGATTCAGAGCACCCCTCAGAAGATGCCAACTCTTAGCTTTTACTCATTTTTTAACTGTGGAAAATTAAAGTAAAAATATAAGTAAAGAGGTCTGTCACAAAGAACTCAGAAAGACCACAGAAGGTCAGAATATTTTTGAAACTATACTTTCATATTTAAAATCTTTGGGTTTATTTTGTGAATCATATAGGTGTTGGTACATCTATCAGTGCTAATATTGCCTGGCACCCTGAGGCACCCTTAAAAGGATTCCATGGTAACTTAGGGTGTGGTAGAAGCCTGGTTGAGAATTACTGTCAGAAGCAAAAAAAGAGATAACAACCAGAATATACTGAGGTTTCTCATGGTAGGTTTCTTCTGTGACTACCTATTGCCAAGTTATAAACACATGAAAATAGGGACTTTGTAATAGAAATACTGGCAAACTTTCAATTAAAGCAGCATTACTGGTAGCTATTATAAAATACAGCAGGCCTTTTTCCTTATTTGTATTGGAATTTATTTTACTGAAGCATAGTTTATTAATCATTAAATGAATAAAGTGAAAAAACAGGGCTTAGTTTCAGCACTCTATGCCATCAGGAGCCTTTTGACAGCTGTATCTAACAAAGATGAACAACTAGAATTTTTTTGCTAGATTTCGTTGCTCAGATGCAAACCTATGCAAATGTTTCTGTCACGTCCTGCATTGAAATAAACTGAGTTTTCATATGAAGGGAATGGTGTTATTTGAGAGGGACGAGGCCCTACCAATCTTTTTAGTGTACATTTAGCTTCCCACTGATTCATATATTCCTTTTCCCATTGTGCCACACTAATACTTACGTTATAAATGTCTTTGTAACTAACCTAATTATTGTGAAATATAATAAAGAGCCTCTAAATATTCCACAAAATGGACGTGTTTACATGGGACACTACTGCGCAGTGGTTACTGTGCATTTATTTAGTATTTGTACAATCAAGTACTAAATAAATTCACAATAACCAGAGTTACTGTGCAGTAGCATCGGCGAGCACCTTTTTTAGCAATGCTACTGCACAGTAGCTTAATAATACTGTACACTAGAGTATTAGCACCTTTTGTGCTGTGACGCTCTATTGTGCAGTATTATTTAGCTACTGCGAAGTTAGCATCTCATGTAGACGTGCCCACTGTGGACATGTAAGCATTCCCACCATGACAGTCATGTAGAGTTCAGCATTATCTCTACAGCAGAGAGTTGAAACTCTATTTTTAAATGCCTTTGAGAAATCAATCAGGTGACAGATGGAGTGAAGAGGAATTAAGATGTAATTTACTCCCAGCTATAAAACTAGGGCATTGAGCTTCACTGCATTCCACTCCTACCTATGGCCATTCTTTCAGCCTACAGACTGAATTGACAATGATAGCTTCTCTTTGTCTGTTGCATAATGTTCTGGGAACATTGAATCTATATACATAAGAACCTGGCTTAAATCTGCTGCTGTTTTCTATGCAGGCCTATGTACTTATTATGGAGGGTGGAAGCACTGTTAGGGTGTGTCCCAATGAGCACACACGTGCGATTTGCATTGCACACGTGCAGTTTGCACTGCACACATGCATGTGTTCACTGCACTGTTAATTTGCAGCACAGCAGGTTTTCTTGACACCGGAAACTCCCAGTGTAAAAAAACAACTCAAGCCAACCCCCCGCCCCCCCCCAAACAAACTGGCACGACACATGTGGCTTCAGTATGTATTGCCCAAAACTGGAGTCTGGATGGCCAGAGTCATGCTCCGGCTGCTGGCCAGGCTCTGCATGCCCAGACTGCCACTACTGCAGTCCCGGGGGGTTCCTAGGATTACAGGTAAGGCTGCTTGGGCCAGCCCCGCTACCCAACCTGGGCCAATTTTCGCCATATTTGTGCCACTGCTAGTTGTCCTCAGGGACATGCATGTTCCTGCTTGTGGGTTCCTGCGCTCTTAGAGTGAACATGCAATAGCAGTGGACCTGGATTGGAATGGGTTCTTTCATTTCAAAGGGAATTCTGTGTTTTGTATTCCAATGACAATACAAATAAAACATAAAATTTGCCACAAAATGAAAAATGAATTCTGGCTGATTGGAGCCTTTTGCTTCAAGAAAATCAAAATGTTTTGTTCTGGTTTTGACCTTTAAAAAAAACTTTGTAATTGTTTTTACTTCATTCTGGAAAGTCACTTCACAATGAAAATTCAAAACTTTCCATTTGGAAAACACTGGACAGGGATGTTTGAACGTCAAACCATTTTTTCTCCCCCTAGATGAAATTTTATTGAGATTAGCACATTTTTCAAGCTCTGTCATTTCAACAAATTCCCCCTATACTTTCCACTGAAAAATATTTTGGTAAGAAATTACTAACCAGCTCTCCCCTGCAAACCCACACAGTGAAGCTAATATTAGAGAGGGCCAGATTCTCAGCTAATAGAAATCATCATAACTCCACTGCAGCAGAGCTACTCTGATATCTGGATATGATATTTCCATCTTTTATAGATACCAAGGTCTTGAACTTTGTTTCTCCAGGAAAATCCAAAGCAAAAGGGGATTGAGCAATACAGGCAGTCCTTGACTTACAACATTTCAAGTTACAATGTTTTGCACTTACAACATTTATAAATTGACACCCGGTCTCAACTTTATGACGTCAGTTTCAAATTTACAATGCTTGATCCAATGCGATGCCACACCAGTGAACAAGTTTGCTGCGTCATTCATCTCCCTGGAGAACATCTGTCCAAACTTCCTTGGATACTTTTTTTAAGAAAGCAGACAAGACTCCAGAAAACCTGCAGCCAAGACTCCTGAGAAGACTCCGGCCAAGAACCCTTCAAAAAGTCCAGCAGTCACCTCAAAGAAGTCCTTCCAAATCAATATGACTGCTATTTACAATATAAGTACATTAATGTAGCTATATTACTCATCTATAATTGATCGAGTACAAAATTCTGGGTTATTTTTGGTGAAAATAGGGTATCGGGCCTTGGTTCTGGAACCAATCCCCTATTTATAACATTGTTTCTTATGAGAAAATTGGTTCTGAGTTACAACGTTTCGACTTAAGATGTGGTTTTCAGGAACCAATTGTGTCATAAGTCTGAGGACTGCCTGTATTTCAAATAGTTTTCTTTCTTTCTTTACCTGGCATTCTTATGAGTTTAGGACTATAAGAGTTAAGCACAAAAGCAGTGCTGAGAGTGGAACAGAATCACTTGTTTATTTCTGAAAAAAGTCTTTGATTTTTGCAGGAAAAAAGCCAAATCCTAGAATAAAACTCAGCAATTGAGTAAAGAAAAAGGAAATTTTGTATCTTATAATGTAAATATCTTGTGCTTATGGAAAATGTACAGGTTTACAGAATGGCAACATCAGAGAAGGGAGGAGGGAATATGTTTCACTTTCCACTCCCTTTCCTTCTTGAAACTCAGAGATACATTTGTCACATAAGTGCTAAAACTGCATTCAGATAACATATAGCTGAGTACTGATACTGAGAAAGCTACGGTGAGTGATACCAGTGGCAGTAGGGACTGTGGCATTAGAAGTAACTGGATAATGTAAATGCTTGGACTTGGGAGGGATTCTGCGCTTCACTTAATTCTGATATTACTATAGGTAGAGGTGGGTGAAAACAGATGTGGATGGGCACTTTTGGGCACACTGTCAATGATGGAGAATTGCTGCTTAATGTTAGTCTCACACACACACACACACACACACACACACACACACACACACACACACATCCACACACAACCTTAATTTACACACACCAGTTGTTGGCTTTTAAATAACCATATCCAATTTACAACCATAATGGACATTTCTCTGGAAATTCTTTCAGAGAGACCTGATCTATATTATATACATATATAAATTCTATGAGCAGAATTTCCAGGAGCTGTAATCACCCCAAATCTCTCAGACATTGGCCTTATCTATTTGCAGAGTCTTTTAGTTCAACTTTATGAAGAAAACATATTTATTTTACTTAGCACAATGATCGCAATTGTTACTTGATACTGGCAATAGCAGAACCTTATACATGTACAAAAACATTCCTGTCTGGCTCTACCATTGGTCTAGCAATCAAAAAAGACATTTACATAATATTTAAATGAAATATTTACTTTCCAAAAAATGCATTTGTCTTCTGTTGTAACACTAGTTGCAGCTCCTCATCTCTTACTCTATGCTTTTTTACTGCTTGTGTCAGAAAGATAAACATTCAGCCACTAGAGGCTCAGAAACATCAACAGCAATTAAAACAATTCTTATTATCCAAATACAATTCACGGTTTATTCAGAGTGAAAGACTGTTCCTTACTTTTGAGGTTATAGGGCTGAGTAGTATGGCTACACATTTCCTATACATGTATACTGTCAAGCATATACTGAAAAAAAATGTTTGACATATCTTCAGGACTTTCATAAGGAAGCCCAAAGAAATGTTTCAGTGTTGTATCAATAGCTGAACATTTGCAATGCAGTAACTATTTACTTTTGTTTCTGTTATTCCCCTGATACTGGAACAGTAATACTATATGGTGTCCTCTTGAGATGATAAGAATTTGAATATGTTGAAATGATCTTATTTTTTCAAAATGCAAAAATGCCTAGGAAAGCATCAGAGTTGATTAACATGAAAATAGCAAAAGTTTCCAAGCCAGTTTACACCTTAATGAAAGCTGACAGTTTAAAACTCAAGGGTGAAAGGTATCTAAAGGAACAAACAATTCCATTTTGTCACATATTTAGTTCAGTTAGGTCAATAAACACTCGAATTCATTCTTTCATATTTGCTATTGGGTACCTTGACTTGTTAATACTAGTTTATCCTCGCTTCATGTAGCCAGTACCAGGAACAGTTGAAATTCCAGATGGTTAAGTGGGTAGGTCTACTTTCAGTCCTAAAAAGCAGCATACTGTTACAGTATCAAATCATATGATCATTTCTTTGTCAGACTTTCTGGCCATCACTCTCAGATGCTGATGGTTCTGTATTTGGCATCTGATGTGTCCTGTCATCTGGTTTAGCACTCTTTCACAATGACATTAAAGGCTGCATTTCCTTCTTGTTCCCTACCTTGTCATGAACAGAATGTAAAATGATCTGTTTGCCTCCAAACTAGGCAGATGTCTCTCCAGATTTTAATGCAACAAGTTCAGAGTCATCTAAATATCTTCCATTTAACTGTTCGTTGTTGGAATCATGATGGTACAGATACACAGGGACCTCGGTGATAGATGTTGCTGTGTAAGAGGTAGAACGCGTAGAGCAGTGATCCCGTCGCCTTTGACCCCACTGGGTTTTATACTGCATCCATTGCCTTTTCAGAGCTCCTTGCACCTGGACAGGTCAAACAAGTAATATTTTTATAATGATTTCTGAACAACAGTGACAACTTGACTATAACAGATTGTGCTCTAGTGTGCACAGTCTGGCCTCCTACCCTTTATATTATGCTGGAAATTTTATTTTACTATAGTAACATGATGTCACATTTCATTAAAAGCCACTTCTGTTTGAAATCCCATTTCAGGTCAGATTGAGTTGAATGAGATTCACAGCTCATAGTCTCCAGTTTATTCAGAATATATTTACTCAGTTCACAGATTCAGTGTACATCACATAAGTTCCCCAGTGAAATGAAAGGGATGTATGTTGGCTTAGTGCACTGAGTAAATTTCACCCTGAATAAACTATGAATGAATAGTGAAAACTTAAGTACAACTTAAGTAATTAATAGGTCTAATATTAGTTTTCTTTACAGTGGTGAATTTCATCCATCAGCTATATAACATGCTGGGGAAAAAGGCACTTTCTACAAATATCTCAAGTAGAACCAGGTATATATTTCAGATGTGAGAGCTAGACTGTGATTTGGACTACACAGGCATTCAGGGACTTGGACTATACAGGCCTTGTTTCTTTGTTTTCCTGGGCTTTGAGTCCAGTCATGTAGGAGTAAGGTAGAATACTCTGGCTTGCTCCCTCCCCATATCAGTTACTTACTTACTTCCTATCAGTGTAGGAAGTAAGATGGGACTGGCTCTCTTCACTTGTCTAGTGTAGCAAAAGCAACAGTACTCTGTTGTAAAAGAGGACGTTCTTCCATTCCCCAGAACAAGGAAGAAGGTGTGAACTGAGACTTCAGGTGTGTCTCTGAGTCACAGTACTATTATTCATTGAGACTACACACCACCTCAGGAAGGGGACAACAGTCTGTCTAGCCTTACGTTGTGCCATACTTTTGATTCTCTAAGGTATCTTTGATATTCTTGCCTTCTCCAAAATTTTAATCTCTTTTACATATATAGTAAAATTTCACACATCCCCCATACAGCAGCCACTGCCTCTGCTCTTCTCTGGCTGACTAGAAGGAAGATATTCTCTTGTCAGAAAAGGGCGAGTTCTCATTAGTATTGCTAGAAATATGATATGCTTATTGACTATACTGTGGGTTACATAAGCAAGCCAAGAAGGGATATTGCACATTTTTATTTTTAAGGCAAGGAACAAGCCAAACTATGAGAAATGAGCCCATAAATTCTTAATTATGCAAACAGTTACACTGACTTCAAAAGGACTACTTTTTTGAGTACGCAAGGATTTGCAGGACTGATCTTTTAATACTGAAGGAAAACATGTCCATGCCAAGTTTCCAATATCAGCTTTTTGCTGTAATCCATTTCAGGAGAATCCGGTTAGAATGCCTTTAAATTGGAGAAGCATGTTTCTATTTACACTTTCAAACTGAAAAATGGCTGAATTCATTTTTGCTAGAGCCCAAAGCACAGAAAAAGCATAGAACTATTATGCAACCTTCCATTCATCCTTAATTATAAAGGATGTGACCAAAGGACATGACCACATTTTACTATAGCAACACTGATGCAAGTCAAAGGGAAATAATTTATTTATGTATATGTTTATTTGATTTATATGTCACCCTTCCAAACAAAGGCTCAAGGCAGCTTACAGCAAGAAGACAGAATATATTATAAAACAGGAAAATGACCAAGAGAACAAAACAGTACAGAAACCAAAGCATCAACATAAAACAGAAACGCCCTAGCCAATATCCCAGCCTAGCTTTTTTGCTAAACACTTGCCCAAATAAGAAGGTTTTAAAGTGTTTCCAAATGGTGTCCCAGCTCAGGGTCTGGCATGCCTTGGGAGGAAGGGAGGTCCAGAAATGAAGAACAACTGCTGACACTGACTTCCCATGAGTTTTTGCCCAGTGGGCTTGGTGCCTTGATGGTGCTTACAGGAGGTTGCTCTTGGCTGACCTTAGGGATTGTGATGGGGTATAAGGGAAAAGACAGACCCATAGATATGCAAGGCCCAGACTATTTAGGGCCTTATAGGTCAAAACCAGCACCTTGAAGTGTGTCCAGAAAGCTATTGGGAGCCAGTAGAGACTCTGGAGCACTGGAGTTATGTGCTCCTGACAACTGACCTCCTTCAGAAGGTAAGCTGCTGCCTTCTGCACCAGCTGCAGCTTCTGGATGGTCTTCAAGTGCAGTCCCACATAGAGCACACTGCAGTAATTTAGTCTTGAGGTTAAAAAGGCCTTGATGATGGTGGTCAGATCTGAATTTGAAAGTAAGGGTCACAGCCTTCTCACCAGAGAGAGTTGGTGAAAACACTCCTAGCTATGGCTGCCACTTGAAGAACCAGGTGCAGCAAAGGATCCAGAAGCACCCCAAGGCCATGAATTGGAGTGACAAATGGAGGCTGAACTCCATCAATGATAGGTGTGTCCCCCCCCTGCCCCCAAGTCACTGTTGCCTCTGTCTTGTCTGGATTCAGTTGCAATTGGTTCAGCAACATCCAATATCCAACTCCAGCCAGGCTCTGGGAAAGGACTCAGACTGCAGGGCCTGGTTCAGCTAAGAAAGAGTAATAGAGCTGGGTATCATCAGTATACTGATGATATTTCACTCCAAATCTCTGTGTAGTCTCAAAGAAATACTATATATAAGGCCTTTGTTATAATGGCTTGATATAGGCACAAAATAGGGGCAACAGGATGAAACCCCGGGGCACCCGCAATAAAGGTCTTGAGGGGCTGATGAGCATCTCCCTAACACTACCCTCTGGGACTTTCCTCCTAGGAAAGAATGGATCCAATTTAGAGCTGTCTTGGAAATACCCACCAGATTATGTAAAAGCTTTATCAGAACCTTAAGGGTTACCATATTTGAAGCTGCTGAAATATCTAGTAAGATCAACAGGGCACAATTTTTCCTGTCAATTTCCAGGCAAAGAATTGCAATGCAGGCCATGAGCACATTCTCTGTGCTATATCTAGGATGAAAGTCAGACTGATAAATGTCCAGGAATCTGAAGACATCCAGATGCACCTAGAACTGACATAAAACCAGCTCTTCAATGACTTTCCCCAAAGAGAAGGTTGGAGATGGATTGAAAATTGGCTACACAATTTTCATATAATACCATTGCAAAGTTCTATCGATGAAAAGGTGCTCTGGTATGATCTAATATGACATGGCATTGCTAATAGATCAGCAGAATTTAAGTAGAGAATTGTGTGGTATTGCTCCCAGAAAGTTTTCAATTAAGTTCAGCTTCTTAACAAGTAGCTTGTAGTCTTCCAGTTGTTCATAAGATTTAAATGTGCAGTCTAGATCATCACTCTCAAATCTACAAGAGGGGACTGGAGGAAGAAATCTTCACAATGGAGAAATCTCTCCATTGGCAATGGTCTGGAGAAGAGCCTGAAACTTGTTGCATGTGAAGGAAATCAGGTCAATCTGCACAAAATGTTTGTCTAGACTGTCTCTAATCACCATCAGCTCTGTATTGCAAGTTATAATGCTGCACAACTCTGAACAAGGTCTTTCCCTTCTGTACTTAGGTCTACTAGAATATTGCTTGGGGCTCTGCCAAGATGAGTTAGAGTTGACCCTTTCTGAGTAGGTTCCTTGTGAGTGGAGGAGGAAGAAGAGGGGGAGGAAATATTCCCCTGCCCTTGCTTCTGGCACACCTATTCTTCTCTCCAGCCTCCTCAGTCTCTAAGGCTAGGGACAGACATTACACATAAACCAGTTTAAGTAATCAGATGGTTTAAACCTGTAACAGAACATACGTTCAGTGCACATAAACCAGTTTCAAAATGGCTGACACTGGTTTAAGATAAGCCTGGTTAAATGTAGTATCAACTTAACTGATTTGGGTCAAACCAGTTTATGCAATGTCTGTCCCAGACCCCTTCCTGGTTTAAATTAAACCAGACTCCCCCAGCATCTCAGATGCTTTGCAGCCCTGGCCTGTGCTGTCTGCTCCAGAGAACAGGGCTGGCTCCCCATCTTCTGCTCTCTAGCCAGAGCTCTGACAGAGACTGCAGGTACAGCAGGGTCTGCCTTGCTTTTCCCTGCCCCACCCCCACCTTGCTGCTCACTGCTCAAGCAGGGATTCCTCCCTCCCTCCTCCCTCCATCTCCCACAGCACAGACCCCAGCCCCATGGACCCTAGGCATGTGGTATGCTCGCCAATGCTGAGTGGTGTCTCTGTGTGTGTGTGTTTCCAATTTCACTGGGATAGGCAGACAGAACAGTGTCCACTTAGGGCTTTTTGGAGCTAATCAACAGGTCAGCTGGTAATGTCTCTCTGGTCCTTCCTTGGAAAAAGCCATTAAAGAAGAGCTTGAACTAATGAGAGGCTTTTGTTTTATTGATGGGCGATAAATGTGGTGTTATCAACCCCCTGCTGGCTCCCTAACCTGTCAGGTTTGCAGACAGTATGAAGAAGCAGGGAGAGGAAAATTAAAAAGCTCAGTATCATCAACATATGCATACACTGTGCACACCCACTTTGCCTCAGAGTGCTAGCCAGGAGCTGGGGTCTGGCAACACTCCCACCCCTTGATAAGCGAGTGGGGGAAAAGCCTGGGACGGTGCAGGCAGGGTGGGGGTTTACACCTCTACCTAATCAGTGTCCTGCTGGGGCCTGGCCATGCACCCCCTCAGCTCAGCAGTGTAAAAGGGAAGGGAGGGCTGCTCTAGTGCCCCCCAGCCTTTTAGCCTGAGCCACTGCAGACATGTGCCTGAATTTCCTCAGTCCAGAGGAAATGTTTGTACAGTTGCAAACCAGTTCAATCTAGGCAGGTTATACTAACCTGCAAAGACTGAACCAATTTAGGGTCAGGCTTGTTGAACATCTGTCCCTAGCCTAACTGCCACTCCACAAGCATACCAAGACCTGTGCATCCTGTCTGAGAGGAAAGGCTGATATAGGCATGATGAGCCACTCATGCACCCTCAGGGTGCTCTCTGTTATGTTGGGGTCTCAAGGAAAACCCCAGATCTGGACACAAATGTGTA